CTCAAGTGGTAGAACGCTAGCCTTGAGCTGAAGAGCTGAGGGACAGCACCCAGGCCCAGAGTTCAGGCCCCACGACCGGACCCAAAAAAAAAAAAAAAGAAAACATTCTGTACTGATAGTGTAGCTCAGATAATACAGCAGTGGTTGACATAAAGACCTGAATTGATGCCTAGCGATGAAGGAAGGACAGAGGGAGAAAGAAACAATAAAGGAGGGAGGAAGGAGAGAGGAAGAGACACACAATCTTGTGTTTCCTAGCTGCTTTGGGGTGTGCACAGTCCAAGTGTTTTGACGCTTGTGTCAGTTGTAGAACACAGATGAGTAAGGGTGAGCTCAACCCCCAGCAAACCTCCCAAAATGGGCCAAATGTTTTAATTTTTTGTAATACTTCTAAATTTTATGGCTATTATAAGCGTAATAGAAATATAAATATAAATACATATAATTTGCTGCCAGGTACCAGTGTTTTATGCTTGTAATCCTAGGGACTCAGGAGACTTAGATCCTAGAATCGTGGTTGAAAGCCAGCCTAGCCAGGAAAGTCTGTGAGTCTCATCTCCAATTAATCACAGAAAAAGCCTGAAGTGATGCTGTGGCTCACATGGTAGAGCATTATCCTTGAGCAAAAAAGCTCAGGGACAGCACTCAATCCCAGAGTTGGAGCTCCAGGACCAGCAAAAAATAATAATACTTATTTGGCCAGGCACCGATGGCTCATGACTGTAATACTAGCTACTTAAAAAACTAAGATCTGAAGATCATGGTTCAAAAAGAGCTGGTACAGAAAAGTCTGTGAGACCTTTTATTTGGATAATAGGACTTGAACTCTGGGCCTTGAGTTCTTTTGCTCAAGGCTAGTGCTCTACCACTTTGAGCTACAGATCTACTTCTGGCTTTTTGGTGGCTAATTAGAAATAAGAGTTTCATGGACTTGCCTGCCCAGGATGGTTTTGAACCAAAATCCTCAGATTTCAGCCTCCTGAGTAGCTAGAACTATAGGCTCAAACTACTAGCACCCAGCCTGTGAGACTCTTATGCTTGTAATCCTAGCTACTCAGGAGGCTGAGATCTGAGGTTCACAGTTCAAAGCCAGCCTGGGCAGCAACGTTTGTGAGACTCTTATCTCCAATAAAACACCAGAAAACCGGAATTGGTACTGTGGCTCAAGTGGTGGTACAGTGCTAGCCTTGAGCTCAAGAGCTGAGGGAGAGTGCCCAGGCCCAGAGTTCAAGACCCATGACCGCTCCCCCCCCCCAAAAAAAAGAAAAAAAGAACTAGCATAAAAAATAATACTTTAATCTCAGTTTGAAGCCATCCAAGGCAGTAATTAACCACAATTAACCACACACACAAAAAAAAAGCCTGGAGTGCAGCTGTGGCTCAAGTGGTAAAGGGGAAAACCTGAAGGGAAAAATGCCAGGCAAGAGTACAAGGTGCCAGTGGACACCTGTAATCCTAGCTCCCGTAATCCAGTCTCCTCAGGAGACTGAGACCTGAGGATGGCACTTCAAAGCCAGCCTGATCAGGAAAGTCAGCCTGAGCCCATGCTCTAATTCAAGTCCCAGGATTAGCAAAAAATAAAACTAAAAACTATAAAGTAAACAGAACTATGAAACGCTGAGACGGTTGGGATGGGAGTAGGGAAGAAGGAAGGAAGAAGTGACTCAGATCAAGGTGCACGGGACACATAAATGGACATATTAAATAAACGTCTGTGCAACTGTATGACAATAATAAAGAAAAAGCAAAACAAAAAAGAACATGTACAAATGTACAGGAAGACTTAGCATAGTAGCTGCTAGTGTTACTGTTTTATTACTAATTGCTTATTCTCTTTGCTTTCAGAGCTGTCAGGAAAAGAACTGGCAAAATAAGCATGGTCCTCACCTGTCAGCTATACTCCCTGGATGTACTTCCTTCACAAAGATCTCCACTTCTCCCAGACTTTGGCTTCTTAGAGCCACCACGCTGAAACCCAAGCCTCCAGTTGAAGGGCGTTCTATGTCTATATATTCAATTTGCCGGCCCTAATGGAGATTAAAAAAAAAAAAGTGAAATTATGTGCATTTAAACAACACCCTTTCTGCAAAATTTAAACTACACAGCACAAAAACAACTTCTTCTAAGTCATCTTTATAATGGAAATAACGTGATCATTTCAATAAGACATTATATCTGGAACCCTGCATAGTGACTGCTTTCAGAAGAATGTAGGAGGGCATGAGTAGACTGGGTGCTGGTGGCTCACACCTGTAATCCTACTCAGGAGTCTAAGATCTGAGAATTGAAGTTGAAAGGCACATGAATTCACTACATTTTTTTTAATTGTGAAAATACCGTACAGAGGAGTTACAATTATATGAGCAAGATAATGAGTACATTTCTTATCAAGCATTGTTACCTCCTCCTTTGTTTCCCCTTCCCATCCCTTCCCATCTACCCCTCCCCCCATTCTTATCTCTAATTAATCACCCTGGCTCCAGTGGTAGAACACCAGCCATGAGAGAAAAAAAAAAAAATCGAGCTAAAGCAAAAAGCCCTGAGTTTAAGATCCCCTAGCACAAATAATAAAATAAGAAGCTAGAGTTGTCATGAATGCCTATAATCAAGTTACTCAAGAGCTACTCACAGGCGTATTGTGAGTTCAAGGCCAGCCTGGGCAGCTAGTGGCATTCTATATCTCAGAAACAAAAGAAAAGCAAAATGGCTGGAGTCTAGCTCAAGCATTAGAACACTTGAGGCCCTAATAAATAAACAAACAAAGCAAGCTATAGAAAGACCACGATTAAGAAGTGGCTCATCACTGGGTTTTTCTGTGACAGCTAGGCATTCTATTGCTTTAGTTAGCAATTGCATTTATCTGATGAGAACTTCACAACTGTAATCAACTAACAAGAGCATCACAAGAATGGGACAGAACACTAGCCTCATAAAAGAAAATTAGGTCCAGAATATTAGTTTACTTCCAAAGTTCAGGCTGGAGGTATGGCATGACTCAAGGTGGAATGCCTACCCATCCCAGTTTCAATGGATTCTTTTTCCCATTCAAACTCAGGTTTCATTTTAAAAGGCAAGTATTAGAAGAATGAACCAATATAAAACTAGTATATCCAAAAATGTAAGTTGTCTATTATTTCTCTTTTTTTTTTTTTTGGTCAGGGCCTGGTTGCTGGTCCCTGAACTTTTCTGCTCAAGTCTAATATTCTAGTACTTTGATCTGGTGGTTAATTGGAGATAAGAGTCTCATGAACTACCTGCTTGGACTGGCTTCAAACTGTGATCCTCAGATCTCAGCCTCCTGAGTAGCTGGGATTACAGGCGTGAGCCACCGGCAACTGGCTATTATTTCATTTTTAATAGGTATTGGGGATTTGCCTTTCCAATATTTTCCTAGAAGTTTCCAAATTTTATTAGTTCCAATTCCCACTAATTCTTTTTTGACATGTAATTAACAAGTTTCAATAATTTTTTTCACTTCCAGCAGACATTAATATTTCTTCTATGACCAAACCACTATGAATTTCTTGCCTTTCAAGAATAGAGATGTGTTCAAACTAGAATCTTTGTCTATGAACATTCATTAACCACAAACATGAATGCTCTCCTTTAGCATTTGCTTCATTTTGTGTTTTTGTCTTTTGTTTTGCAACAGGATCTTGATATATTGTCCAAGCTGGGTGGAATTCACAATCCTCCTGATAACCTCATAGTCAGAGTGTACAGCTGTGAACCACCATGCCCAAATTTCATATAATTTAAAGACAACAAATTCCCAATGGGTTAGAAAATGGTATTAATTCCATCTAACAATATAAAAATGTAAACAAAATCCATGCCAATACATTTAAAGTCAAAAAGAGTGAGCATAGGTATTCTTTTAAAATTGAAAACAGAAGAGGGAAAAAAAAGGCAATGTTCACATCACATAGCACAATGTAACTTTACCTGAGCCATCTGTTGAATGATTGAGTTAAAGTCTTCATTTCCCGAGTTTGGGGCCCAAGGAAATAACCCAGAAACAGTTAAGTTATTATGGGGCCTGTGGGCATTCCCATTCGTAATGGAACCATCCGTGAACACTAATAGGCCTTTCCGAGAAAAATCAAAATTGGCTGAACAATCTGGTGGAATATGGCTGAGCTGTTGGAGAGAAAAACAGGACAATCATCAACAGAAACCTTCAGGAAAAAATTTATTTCTACCTATATTTTATATTTTCCGCATTTAATGTATAATGTGTGGTTTAAATATACATGAATTAAATAAGGTATATATGTATATATGTATATATACATATATACATTTTAGTGTGTATGCCATTACTTGGCTTGAACTCAGGGGTCTGGGCAATAGGTACTGTCCCTTAGTCTTTTTGGCTCAAGGCCTCACTTTGCCACTTGAGCCACAATTCTCCCTCTAGCTTTTTGGTGGTTAATTGGAGATTAGTGTCTCTTGGACTTTCCTGCCTGGACTGGCTTTGAACCAATCTTCAGATCTCAGCCACCTGAACAATTAGGATTACAGCCCTAAGCCACTAGGATCTGGCTTCACATACATACTTTTATTTAATATTAAAAAAAAAAAAGTTCAGTCAGGCACTGGTAGCTCATGCCTGTTACTCTAATTAAATAGCAAAAAGCCAGAAGTGAAGCTGTGGCTCAAAACAGTAGAGAGCTAGCCTTGAGCACAAAAATGTAAGGACAAGCTGGGCACTGGTGCTTCATACTTGTAATCCTAGCTACTCAGGAGGCTGAGATCTGAGGATCATGGTTCAAAGCAAACCTGGGAAGGAAAGTCTGTGACTTTTTTTTTTTCTTGATCAGTAGTGGGGCTTGAACTCTGGGCCTGGGCTTTGTCCCTAAGCTCTTCAGCTCAAGGCTAGCACTCTACCATTTGAGTGAGCTACAGCACCACTTCTGGTTTTCTGGTGATTAACTGGAAATAAAACAGTCTCACATACTTTCCTGCCCAGGCTGGTTTTGAACCATGATCCTCAGATCTCAGACTCCTGAGTAGCTAGGATTACAGGTGTGAGCCACCAGCGACCTGCTCCAGGAGACTCTTATCTCCAATTAACCACCAGAAAACCAGAAGTGGCGCTGTGGCTCAAGGGGTAGAACACTAGCCTTGAGCTGAAGAACTGAGGGACAGCGCCTAGGCCCAGACTAAAAGCCCCATGACCAACAAAAATGAAATGTGTAAGGACAGGGCACAGGCCCTAAGTTCAAGCCCCAGGACTGACACAGAAAAAAAAAATACTTAATAGTTATAAATGTGTCAGTGTATCCTGCCTTCTATGTCTATCCAATGTCAGCAAGATTATCTCACTATTCTTCACATACTTAGATACATCCAGTCATGTAAGTGAGACACTAAGCCCTGTCGTGCTCATCTGCACATTGCCATGTGGTGAGCCTCAAGAGAGCCACAGGTGTGCCAGGCACAGGTGGCTCACGCCTGTAATCCTAGCTATTCAGGAGCCTGAGATCTGAGGATCAAAGTTCAAAGGCAGCCCAGACAGAAAAATCTCTGTGAGACTCTTATCTCCAATTACCCACTCAAAACCTCAACGTGGAGCTATGGCTCAAAGTGGGAGAGTGCTGTTTGTCTTGAACAAAAGAGCTCAGGGACAGTGCCATGGGTTGTATAAATAGTAGTAACAACAGCACTTACTGAATGCTTGCTAAGAATTTTTTTTAAGATTCTTTTGGATTTTTTTTTTGGTAGTAATAGGGTTTGAACTTAGGGCCTCAAGTTTTACCTCCAGCCCAACTTGTTTTATTTTGAGAAGTCTTACAGAATTTTCTGGGGGGGCTGGCTTTGTTTGAACCATGATCCTCCTCAACCTCTTGAGTAGCTAAGATTAATAGCCTGGGCCCCAGATATCCACCTGGCTGTTTCTCAAGGCCTTAATGTATTTATCTCATTTAATCCACACATTAGATTAAATCCTTGAACAAGATTAACAACAAGTGAGTCACATAGCCACTTGACCATAAGCAAAAAGAAGAGAATCCTATAATTATAAGGAGCGCGATTATAAAATAATACTGCTGGAGCTGGGCACTGAAGAAGCTGAGATCTAAGAACTGAGGTTCGAAATCAGTACAGGCAGAAATGTCTATGAGACTCTGATCTCCAATTAGTTAGCAAAAAGCTGAAGTGATAGAGCACTAACTTTGAGCAAAACAGCTAAGGGAGAGCACTCTGCCCCTAAGTTCAAGCCCTAATACCAGAAAAAGAAAAAAAAAGATTTAAAAAAGAAAACTCACTGCTGCTACAACTGCTAACACAGTAGAATAAAAGTAACACTTGGAACCAGATGTTGGTGGCTCACAACTGTAATTTTAGCTACTCAGGAAGCTGAGATCTGAGGGTTGAGGTTCAAATGGGATAAAAGTAACACTCAGAATAAATGTCAGGAGATAGATGGTGGAACTCAGTGGTTGCATGTGTTCTAAGCATGGTCAGGCTCTGAGTTCAATTCCCAACACCATTTAAGAAGTTTTTGTGTTTTTTTTGGCCAGTCTTAAGGCTTGAACTCAGGACACTGTGCACTGTCCCTGAGCTTCTTTTGCACAAGGCTAGCACTCTACCACTTGAACCACAGCACCACTTCTGGCTTTTTCTGTGTATGTGGTACTGAAGAATGGAATCATACATGGTAGGCAAGCACTCTACCACTAAACCATATTCCCAGCCCAAGAAGCATTATTTATAATTTGGAAGAAAATGTTGGGAATTCTCAAAACATCTCAACTTTACTTATTTAATCAAGTAAAAAACAAAATAGCTAGGTGCTGGTGGCTTACACCTGTAATCCTCCTGAGTAGGAGGCTGAGATCTAAGGATCTTGGTTCAAAGCCAGCCCAGGTAGGACCATCCATGAGACTCTTATTTCCAATAAACCACCAGAAAACCAGAAATGGTACTGTGGTTCAAGTGGTAGAGTGCTAGCCTTGAGCTGAAGAGCTGAGGGGCAGTGCCCAGGCCCAGAGTTCAAACCCCACAACTGACAAAAAAAAAAAAGTATATTCTAAGATACAACATGAAATTATCCGTGTGTGTGTGTGTGTTGGTACCAGTGTGTATGTGTGTGTGTGTGTGTCAGTGAATTAGTGTGTGTGTGTGTGTGTGTGTGTGAATTTAGGTCCTGGGAGCTTTTTCTTTCTTTTTTTGTTCAAGGCTGGTGCTCTATTGCTTGAGCTACAGCTCCACTTCTGGATTTTCTTTCTGGTTAATTGGAGATAGGAGTCTCACAGACTTTCCTGCCCAGACTGGCTTCAAACTCTGATCTTCAGATCTCAGATTCCTGAGTAGCTAGAATTACAGTGTGAGCCACCATTGCCCAGTATTTTAAACCTAGTTATGCCAATACTGCCATGCAGGTCCCAATAGGGTCATGTGGACATAAACATCCTTCCAGTACATTTGTCCTTGTCCACCTCTCTCGGTCTGCTGTTTGACACAGCCAGGCAGAATCCACGTGGAACTTACTTGTCCCTTCAGCTGCTTGATGGACTGCTGGAGTGTGAGTATCTGGTTAAAAAGAGGACTCCTCAGTGTGTCATAAAACAGAGCCAGCTTCTCATTCTGTGATGTGTCACCCTTCTCCTGCAGCCTTGTTTGCAGGCGCTCCAGGACCTGCAGAACCTGCAGTTTATCTTGTTGAAGAAGAATGATCAGAGCACAAGTTAAGTCCATCTCATAAACCAGATCTGAATCATTAAGTAAGTGAATGAAAAATCAAACTACCTAATATACCTGCAGCAGGATTTTCAGGCATGTTGGATTTTTTTCTTCAATCACTTTTAAGGAATTCTAGAGAAAAGATTGAAAATATGAGTTTCCATTTTAAAGAAAAACTTAGTAACATTTTTCATCAAAAGACACCACTAGCTGGACACCAGTGGCTGACACCTGAAAACTTAGATACTCAGGAGACTGAGCTCTAGTATCATGGTTCAAAGCCAGCCCAAGTAAACAAATTTGAGAGACTCTTATCGCTAACTACTCAGTAAAAAGCTGGTAGAAGTGTGGTTCAGCGCCTGCTTTGGATAGTCCTGCATATTTTGGATACGTGAGCTAGGCCACTGCTCAATAGGGTTAGAGTAGAAAGTGGCTGGCCATCCACTGCTCATGATTCATAGTTGGCCTACATCCATAAAACAGGCCTGAAGCAAGACACCGGTGGCTCATGCCTGCAATCCTAGCTATTCAGGAGGCTGAGATCTGAGGATCACAGTTCCAAGCCAGCCTGGGCAGGAAAATCTGTGAGCCTCTTATCTCCAACTAACCACCAGAAAACCAGAAGTGGAGCTGTGGCTCAAGTGGTAAAGCATTTGCCTTAAGCTGAAGAGCTCAGGGACAGCACCCAGGCCAGACATCAAGCCCCACCACAAAAAAAAAAAAAAAAAAAAGCCTGGAGAATTATCACCATTCCTGCTAAGAACAGGGACTAAAGTTCTAAAGACATGCTGCATGTAAAAGAGACATACAATAGATATCTGGCTGAAGTTGCAGCAGTGGGCCAAATGGAACCTATTTGTCAACCTTGATATGGTCACTGGAAATCTTTAGCCAAACAATTCTGACCTATTCCAGTATAAAATTAACATTGTTGAGTCTAAGAAAGCAGCTTGGGATGGTCAAGTACTTAGCTAGCATTCCCAAGGTAGGGGGTTTAATCCTCAGCATGATCAAAGAAATAAAGAACAAAAAAGAGAAGCAAGAGTTAGAGAAGGGAATTTCAAGTTTGTTAAAGCATGGTAAAGCACCCTCACATGTCATAGATAGGCCTTCTAGGTAAGTCACAGATAGGTCAGATGTAAAAATGCTATGTGATAACATTTGTCTTAGTCCCAAAGCCTCCAAAAAAGTTTCCTATGCTCAGCAACTTCCCCTCTATCATCCAACGAAGTGAATTTGGGACCAGAGTTTTTCATAGTTGGTCAACTGTAGGATTTGATAGAAAGGCATTATTATAATATCCTGGCTTAAAAAAAAAGTCCATGTCCTAAGCCAATATCAATTAATAGAATATGGGGAGGGGGAAGAAGAAGTTGAGAGTAATTTAATTTCTGATTGAAGGTAATTGAAAGGCTTTATTAACATTCAAAGATTAATTTAGGCAAATTAAGGACCCTGAAAAAGACATTTTTTTTCCAGCGCTCAATAGTTCAAGATCAGAATTCCCTACTTATTTAACAAGACATCTACTGATCTTCAGCTTCAGGGGGAAATATCACTAGCTGTCTCCTTGGAAAAGTACAGGTATTTATGCTCGAGCTGCACAGGTGCATTAGGCAAGATCACAATTAAACAGTTCCTAACTTACCTACAGGAATCTGTCACAGATCACTAGCCAGGAAGTTGTAAGAATCAATGAGCTGCCGGGCGCTGGTGGCTCACGCCTGTAATCCTAGCTACTCAGGAGGCTGAGATCTGAGGATTGCGGTTCAAAGCCAGCCCGGGCAGGAGAGACCGTGAGACTCCTATCTCCAATAAACCACCAGAAAACCGGAAGTGGCGCTGTAGCTCAAGTGGTAGAGCGCTCGCCTTGAGCTGAAGAGCTGAGGGACAGCGCCCAGGCCCAGAGTTCAAGCCCCATGACCGACAAAAAAAAAAAAAAAGAATCAATGAGCTATTAGGTGCAAAGTCATGGTTTCAAAAGTTATTCAAAATCTAAGGACCATGAACTGTTTTTAAGTGTCTGTGGCTTCCATTTGAGTATAAAGATCAGGATTTATCTTTAGCATTCATTTGTCCTTAAAGCTCAGCATTTATTTGATAACTGATTAAATGAAAATAAACTCTCCCAGCCAAAGAGCAATGGTGATGCTATTAACAGGCCTCTAAATAATTATATCTCCTGCCATGCAAATACAGCTTCAGGTCAGGTATTCTAGCAACTAGCCTACCCCTTAAGCATAAAAATACTATTTATTTTTTATGAACTAGGAGACAAGGCTAAAGCAGTAGAGCATCAACCTAGCAAGCTCAAGGCCCCGAATTCAAATCTCAGTATTGCTAAAAGAATACTTTATTTCATTTCAATAAATGTTCTTTTATATGATCAAAGGCACAGAGGCATTGCATCTTTGGGTTTCTCCCCTAAGAGTATCCTCCTTTGGTCTCACTGTGAATACTTATTTTTTTTAACCATTGTCAAAACATCACATTCCTGGATTTAGGTAACAGACACAAATTCCAGAATGATACGTTTGGATCTAGATGCTCAAAATCTACAAATCATTTTTCAGTATGCAATGATACAAAAATTAATAAGACTTTAAACTTTTTTTATGTGAAACCTGGAAATCTAGTGTACATTTCACGTACAGCACAGCTCAAGGCACCCAGGAAGGGCAAAGGTCAGTGCCAGCCTGGGAAAAAGTTAGCAAGACTTTACTGTAACAAACAAACTGTGCATGCCTGTAATTCTAACTATGCGGAAGCATAGGTTGAGGATCGCAGCCTGGACAAAAGGTGCAAGCCCCTATATGGAACTCTAAAGTAAGAAAGCAAGAAAAATAAAAGCAAATCATGTTTAGCCAATCACAAATACTAAGGCAGAATAACCCAGTTTTCTCAAAGCTACCAAGGTAAGCAGTCTTAAACTAAACTCCAGTGTGGCTTCCCAAAACGAATGTGTTTTTGTTTAACTTTAACAGAACCAGTCAATTCAGCCTGCCCAGCTGTTGAATGTAATAACAAATGTTGTGAAGTGAAACACCATTGTAAGGAAAGCAAATGCTAAGCTGCAGTTTTAATAGCAAAGTTGCTATAAGAAAAAAATATAAATATATAGATGTTTATATATTTAATATAAATTCATATATTATGTAAAATATAATATAGTAAATATGTATTATTGCTATAATGTATTAAATGTTATATATTTGTGTATATTATATAATGTAGATTATGTTACATGTTATATTACATATTATGTTATATAAATATGTATTTTATGTATTTAATATATACATTATATATATTGTCGATGGTGGGGATTGGGCTCAGGGACAGGGTGTTTTCCCTGAGATTCTTTGGTTCAAGGCTAACATCCTACCACTTAAGCCACAGCGCCACTTTTGACTTTTTCTCAGTTTATTGTAGATAAGAGTCTCACAGACTTTCCTGCTGGGGCTGGCTTCCAACCATTATCCTCAGATCTCAGCCTCCGGAGTAGCTAGGATTACAAGTGTGAGCCACCAGCACGGGGCTATGTACAGGTATCTAAGAAACTATGCCATGATGTTATTAGTGCTTTTTCTTTCAATGGTGAGTGGGTTTCCGGGTGTTTTTAGTTATTTTTTGAAAATTCTCTACAATTTTCCCCACAAAAAAAAAAAAATACTCATTAACTTTGCACCTGAAAATAGGGACTGGGGGGACGGGAGGAGCTCAAGGGTAGCACCTGCTCAGCCCTTGTGGTCCTGAATTCTAATCCAGCACTACTGAAAACTAAACAAAACTTACCAGTTAATTGGAACTTACTAAAGCGTTGTTAAATACTGATGAGTTTAACCTGTTTCTTTTCAACTTTTTTTCCCCCATTTTTCTAATGGCGAGTCCATTTTATGTGAGCACTTAGTTTTGTGAACTAGTAAATCTCTTTGGCTCTCACCTTATCAGTCCCCTCCATTTCTATACTTACTTTCCAATTATCTTAGCTTTTTTTTTAATAATCTTTGTAAAAGCCTGGGCCTGACAACAGCAAACGCATCTCAGCTACCGGTCACGACCTCACCAGCCTTTTCTAATTCTACAAAACGAACGGATTTGAGTTTTTACCCCACTCCTCCCTGGCTTTCCTTAAACCAGGTGCGTAAGAATGAATGAGTGGCAGACAGAGAATAGGTCCATTGGCCTCAGTGGAACAGATTTTTTTTCCCAGGTCTCCTGAAGCTTCTGCCTTCAGGAAACTCGTCCGGCAAGTACCAAAGGCCAGACCCTAAGCAAGCGAGAGGCCTGGAGGGGCGATCTGGCCTTGGAAGGTTGCCCTCCTCTCCGAGGCGGACAACCCAATCAACCCGGAATTCGAACCCAGCGATCAGCGCCATCTGGAGAGGGGACCAACTGCCCAGTAAACACCCCAGGGGGAGACGGATTGGGCCTGCTGGGCGTGCCGGGAGGGCAGGACGCTTTGGAAGGTGGGAAAGACCTGCGAGTGCTTTCCAGAGCTGGATTTCACGCAGGAAACCCGGGGATTTCCACCCCCGAAGTTCGGAGGTCACACAGGGAGCCCTTTCCGCGCGCGGCGCTCGAGCTCTCCGCAGGAAGGCTGGCACAGCCAGGCCGGGGCAGGGCGCTCGGGCGCAGCGAGACCGGCG